CTTCCATCCTCAGAGTGTCCGTCGACAGCAGACACGTGACCTGCCGTGGGCTGTCTGGGGGCCATTCGGCCACCGAGGACCCTGCGGCCGACTGTGGCAGCAAACTGAGGATTCTCCTTTGGGGAGTTCTGACCAAACTGACCGCGTCCGGCGAGGCGCCTGGGGGCCAGGACATCCCATTGCTTCTTGATCCTCCTTTTACCAAGTGGGTCACATCCTGTTTCTTCATCATTTCATCACCCCACAGTCAGCTTAGCCATGACAGTGCAAGATGACAACTGGACTGTGCTGGAACGTGCCCTCCTCCGTGGCTACCCCGCGTGTCTGTCCAGCACCTACTGTGTGCGCCACGCGCTGCATCACACGGCGGGCGGGTCCCGGAGAGCCCGGGGCCGCAGGCTGCCCTGACACGGGCCGGGCGGTGGCCGGCCAGGCGGCGCCTGAGGTCAGGAGAATGGCGCCGGGGAGAAAACGTGACACGGAGGCCCGAGCCCCCTGGACAACGGTGCTGAGCCCACCCCTGGTCCTGAGGGGCCCCAGCCTCGGCCCCAGCCTCAGCGGCGGGCCCCAGCCCCTGTGCCCCGGGAGGCAGCCCCCCGAGGCTGGCAACAGGGGCAGCATCGCCCGCAAACGTGGGCTCTGTGTCAGTTCGGTCCCATTAACCAATTACATGAATCAAGTGAACGCCATTAAATGCAGTTCACGAAGAAGTCATTAAATGTTACTTAACTCATCACCCACAAAACTTCCTTAACTCGCCACCAGGAAAAATAATGAAGTGAGCTCAGCTACCTGTCTTGAGCCTGCCAGCAGTAAACAACAGAGACGCATTCGCAACACCGCACCGTAGCCGGTGCTAGCTGTGAGGTTTGGGGCAAAGCGCCGAGGTTCTGTCGCCCGTGCGGGTGACGGCGCTCGCCGGGGCAGGCCCAGGCGCCGCTCTGTTGTGGCTAGAAGCTGCCTGGCCAGGCGCGGGCAGGCCCAGGCTCGCGCCCCTCTCTTTGGCCTTCGTCTGTCCTCCCCCTAAGAGCTACTCCGGGGTGACCATCTGCTTACTGCGCAGTCGCATAAGAACCCCCCGACCTGACACGCTGCCCACGGGAGCTGGGGCACAGCAGAGCCCTCTGCAGGCTGTCTTCAGGCCACCGAGTCACGGGGAGGCCCACGCACCTTGGTCCCCGGCCACTTCTTCGTGGACAGGGCTATTTCTGACCTTCAGCTCCTGGCGCCTGCAAATGTCAAAGGCGGAGGTTTCCCTTCGCAGGCTCCTCCCCTGCCCCGGCCCCACCTTCGTGCTCTGTAGCTAAAGTCCCTGCAGAGAAGTGGACGTGGCTGGGGGTCCCTGACTTAAAACAGCTGCCTCTGCCCCCGTGGGCGGGACGTTCCACTGTCCACCTCGAGCGCCGCGGGCCGAGCGCAGGGGCTTCCCTCTCCCAGCCTGGGCTGCAAATACGCCTCCGGGCGAGGGCTGCACGTCTCCCAGAGTCCCCGGACCAACCGCCTCCCCTGGCGGGGGACGGTAACCCATAATCTCCCCTCGCTCTTTGGGGTCACGGCACAGGACTTGCATGGGTTAGGGGTCGGCACCAGGTGGAGGCCGGCAGCAAATCCGAATGGCTGTCGCGCTTTGGGGTGTATCTGGGGTCTTAAAGTTGTTGCTCTGCTGCTCTCAATATTTTCAAACTTTTGAAAACATCTAGGCAGTACTTCACACCTCCTCTTGAAAAACAAAAACACAAAGGTAGCTGCTTTGGTGATACTCTGCATCGCCACAAAAAGGAGGGGCTCAGGGGCCCCTGCAGCCTCCCCAGGGGCGTCTGAGTCCTGGCAGCCAGACTGACCTGTCTGTCCTGTAGCAATCCCATTCAGGTATTTTTTGAACCCTTGAAAACAAAAAACAAATATGAAATATGAAAAAAGTATAGATGATACGAAAATAGCCCCTGTCTTGAAAAAAAGGTGGGGATGGTTGAGAAATATGGAAGCTGAGCCTCGCCCGGGGAAGCAATTCTTACTCCCAACGAAGCTGTGTCCACTCTTTGGAGATGATACTCGCTTCTGCTGAGAACAGTACTCAGCTCCTCAAGACGGTGGGTTGAAGCCGGGGTACTGCCCGGGAGCTCAAGAAAAGTTCAGTGGGAGTAAGCGAGACCCTGTTACTTTGTGGGGGTGCAGGAGGAAGCTGCTAGAGCTTCGTAGTCATGACTGTTTTCAAGAGGAGTCATAAAGTACACCGGCTTCACGATCCTGACAAGTCACTGAGAAAGCAAAGCTTTGACATGGTTTGACATGCCAAGAACACTGATCCCAGCCACCCTGCGGCTCACAGGTCAATGAAATGAGCATTTAAAACCTTCGGTGACTTTGTCTCTACTCGCCACCATTTCGCACACGCGCATTTTAACCTCACTAGTAACATAAATGACACTTGTGGTTAAATATTGGAACACAGTGTAAAAAGCAAAGCCTGTTTTATTTCTCCCCCACCCCAGCGCCCCTCCCCTGGTGTGGTCCTTGCAGATGACCAGGCTGAGGGGTCTCCTGGCCTGCGAGTCGCGGGAGTGGCCGCTCCGTGGATGTGGAAGGGCAGGGCACAGGCGCCGCCCCCCCCCCAACTAATAGCCCAAGCGAAAAATTTCGTAGATAAACCGAGCCTCAAAATCGGGCCCTGAGCAGTTAAAATCCAGGCTGGCGGGATGACCACGTTCGGGCGCAGTGGGGGGGAAGGCCCCGACGTGGGGGTCAGGGGTCGGGCGGGGCCATTTCGGTTGGGGGCGCACAGCCCCATCGCGGGGCGCGGGGCGCGGGGCTCCCTCTCGCAGGGCCCCGAGGCCGCGCCTCTTGGGCAGGACACAGCCCACTCGGTGCAGTCCAGCGGCTGGGGTCCCCCGTCCCGAGCCGCAGCCCGACCCAGGGACAGTGCCGGGGGCTCCGGCTGTCCCGAGCCGGCTGGGACCGCTCCCGCCCGGGTGGTCAAGCCCCGG